ACAAGCATATTCGAACCCTCGTTGGAATCGAGTTCACGGACGGCGAGAGCGAACCCTCGAATTTGGAACGGCTAATGAGCTCCTCGGATATTTGCGTACCGTGCCCTATCGGGTACATCTGCGAGGGGCTAGAAAAACTGCCGGTACCCTGTGGAGTCGGCCGGACGACGACCGAAATGCGGTCAGACGACAGGTCCATGTGCGTCTGCGACACGGGGTACGGCTACACGGAATCCGGGGACTGCGTCGTCTGCTCGGGATTCGGCTACAAAGACGTCGTCGGCAACTTCCCCTGCAAGCCATGCACAACGGGAAAAAACAACGCGAAGCATCTGCCCGCTCTGCCACCACTGGGCCCGATACGCATCATCACGGAGGCGGAGTGGAAACACCAGCTACGCGCGTACCGCGCAAAAAACCACAACCATTACCCAATTCTTCAAAACATGCTGGGATCCTACAAACTGTTCTCCAACTCGGAGAGCTCGAAGCGGCAGGAGTGGTGCCAGTATTGCGTGGCCGGCACCCACTTCGACGTCAACCTGAAGACGTGCGTAAAGTGTCCGGCCGACCGCTTCTGCCCCGGCGGCGACTACCAGCCGTCGAGCTGCGGCACGAACGGGATAACGCGATTCCGGGGGAGCAAGAGCGCGATGGACTGCTTCTGCGCGCGAGGGTACGGCAACCTCTTCGAGGGCCGGCACCCCATCACGGGCACCATCTGGTGCCGCCACTGCGTCGCGGGCTTCTTCCAGCACATGGAATCGGTGGACTACGCCTGCCTGCCCTGTCCCATGCACTCAGCCAGCACCGACATCGGCGCGAAGACCATCCTGCACTGCGCGCCCGAGCCCGGGTACTACCTCGCACTGCGCAAGCTGGAGAAACGAACGGGACGGGTGATAAACCTCTGGGATAGCGGCAGCGACAATTTCGAGAAGAGGCTGGCCGCGGAGCGCGCCAACGTGCGGATCGAGTGCGCGGAAACGCCGCGTGCGAGCATCGGGTCGATGCACAGCGAAAAGGTCTTGAGGGACTCGATGAGAAGCTGCCAAGAGAGCTGCACGCAGAACATATACTGCCACGGCTTCATGTTTGAAGAGACCATGTACTACACGGAGGACAACGTAAACCCGTACATCGCCAACGAAACCACAGTCTTCAACGGGCTGCGTTTCCTGAAACGGTCGCACGGAACCTGCACGCTTCACTTCTTCGAGCTGAGCTTCAGGAAAATCACCGACAGCGACACGCAGCAGGGGACCTACGCGGACTTCGTCACCGTATGCCGCGTGTACGACCCCGTCTTCGAGTACAAATTCACCACAGAGCTCTGCCCCGTCGGCCACTACTGCAACGGTGGCATCGGGTTCAACCGCTGCCCCGCGAACTCGACCACGATGATTCGCGGCGCCTCGGGAGTGGCGCACTGCCTCTGCCTCCCCGGCTACGAAGCGTCCACGACGCAGACGGGCGTGTGCGTCGCGTGCCCCATCGGCTCGTACAAGCAGGAGATTGGCAACATTTCCTGCCGGCGCTGCCCCGACAGGTTCAGGACCTTCAAGACCGGCTCGAAGTACATCACCGACTGCGCGTGCAGCCCCGGCCACTACGCGAAGGTCGTGCCGTACGACGACGTGACGCACGAGGCGACCTACAAGCGCATGAAGGACGGGAGCATCCTGCCGAGTTCCGACGACGAGTTCCTCTCCTACTACCAGCACCTGCTGCGGATCGAGCACCAGCGGCGCGCCTCGACGCTGACCGAGGGCAACCCCTACCGCATCGACCTGCCGATGGACACGACGGACCCGCTGTCGCAGATCGAGTCGTTCATGTTTCTCTCCAAGGCGTCGCTGCTGCTGCCCAACAACGCGCCCTCTTCGCTCTTCGCGGAGGGCAACTACCGGACCGTCAGCTGCGAGCGCTGCAAGCCGTACCACTACTGCCCCGGCGGCTGGGTGCCGACGTCGGCGGACAACCTGATCCACAACATCCCCTACCGCTGCCCGTACGGCGCCAACGTGCCTACGGAGGCCACCAACGCCGCCTCCATCACCCAGTGTCTCTGCCTGCCCGGGTACCGAGTGAACACGGAGACGTCGGACAACCCAGATGGCGCCAGCTCCGGCCTGGTGCTGGGAGTGAAAAGCGACGCGACACCGGGGGACCCAGAGGGTTTCACGCCAAACTACCACACCAAACCGGGGTACCTGCTGGTCGACGGAGAGAGCAGCGTCAGCACGGCGCTCTCCCAGCTCGCCAAGGACCCCTCCAAAGCGGAGCCCGAGTACCCGGACGCGGTGGCCTCGGCCATAGGGGGCGACGCCATCCCGTCGCTCCAGATTGCCAAGTGCGTCAAGTGCGAGGCGGGCATGTACAAGGAAGGGCAGGAGAACTCCTCATGCAGCGGCCGCTGCATGCAGTACGCGACGACCTACGGCGGCGCCACCTCCCAGAAGCAATGCTTTTGCAACTACGGCCGCTTCATGATGCTGGAGGACACCCTCGGCTCCATGCAGCTCTCGTGCGCGCCGTGCCTGAAGGGCGCCGTCTGCCCCGGGGGGCTCTCCACGGCCGTGGTCAACAAGCTGAAGACGGACGGAGCCTTCACCTCCATCCGGCTGCAGGACCACCGGAGGCCCATGGCGCGCTTCGGCTTCTACGCCGCCTTCAAGGACCAGGAGGTGGAGTTGTGGTCCCCAGTGTCGCACTCGAAGACGTCGATGCAGCGGATCTCGACCCACCTGCTGGACTTCCACGCGTGCCCGCTGGAGTACATGTGCGCCAGCATGGAGGGCGTGCCCTGCGACGCCGGGTCGAGCGGCTACCTGTGCCTCAACTGCGAGCGCGGCTACGACCGCACATACTTCCGCAGCAAGTGCCTGCCCTGCACCAGCGCGCGCGAGGCGCTCGTCCTGTACGTGCGGGGCAGGTGGCTGCTCTGGGCGGTGGCCTCCCTGATGCTGATTTTGCTGCGTAAGAAGATGTACTACCAGTTCGCGATCGTGAAGATATGGCTGGAGTTCTGCTTCTCGATGGTGCCCTACGGCATGATCCCCCTAAACTCCACGTCCAGCCTGCGGCGCTTCGCGGCGCTGTACAACGACGTCTTCGGGTACCAGCAGCAGGTGTTCAGCTACGTCGGCGTGCGCTGTCTGCTGGCGCTCTACACCGACGCGAGGCTGAGCAACGCGCAGGCCTGGTACGTCCAGCGGTTCTTGGTCGTTCTGCAGCCGCTGGCCGACGCCGCGGTGCTGTACGCCATCATGATGGTGTTCGCCACCATTCGCCCGCTCCTCAGGCTGAAGCGCCATATGCTGCGCCGCTGCGAGAGCGCGTCGAGCAACTCGAGCTCTGCCGTCAGCTTGGTAAACTACGACACGGACGGACTTGACGCCCAGGATGCGGCTCCCGGCGAGGTTGCTCTGCCCACGCGCAAGGAGCGGCACCGCCGCAAATGGCCCTATGTCACCCCGTGGCGCTGCCTCGTCGCCATTCACTACTTGAGCTTCCAGTTCATCTGCCAGGAGCTGCTGCAGACCCTCTGGTGCGTGCCGATACAGTACATGTTGGAGCCGCCGATACACGTGCTGCTCTACCTGCCGACGCACGTTTGCGCTGCCTCTGACCCCACGTTCCTCTACCCGGCCGTGGCGGCGCTGGCGGTGCTCCTGACGATGGTGCTCGGTTACACGGGGGTGGTCTACTGGTGGGTGCGCCGGGGCGGCTCCCTGCGCATGTTCAGCGTCGGGCGCCAGAAGCACACGCTCTCGTGGGACTCGGTGATGTTCACGCGCCGCCTCTTCGTGGCGATGATCGTCGTCTTTCAGCCGACCACGCTCTCCACCGGTTCCTCCGAGAAGCTGCGGACCATCGGCAGCATCCTGGTGACGTCGCTGCTGTTGATTGCGCACATGTCGACGCTGCCATACCAGGTCCGCGACGACAATTTGTTCAACCGTCTCGAGCTCTTCTCGCTCATCCTGAACGGCCTCACCGGCTTCATGATTCTCGGCGGCTTCAGCTACGACCTCCACAACTTCGGCGTGGTGCCCATGGCGGCCAGCGCGTTGTACACGTGCCTGCTGCTGTGGTACGTCCTGGTCGAATGCGGCTTCATTTCTGACCTGCGGCCTCATCTGCGTCGTCGCATGGGCCTGCTGCCGAACTTCTGGGCCATCTGTCGCAAGCTGCTGCTTTGGCACTGCCACTCCCACATTACCTTCGACTACTCCAAGGGCGACCTCGTCATCGAGCGACCGTTCGCCGGGCACGCCTACGCCCCGGCGCGTTCCATCTTCGGGCGCCGCCGCACGCGTGTGACCCTTGTCGGGAGGCGCGCCTTTTGCCTCTGCATCGAGCAGTCCATATCCCGCTACGTCATGGAGCAGCGGTGCTTCTGCATCCCTCTCTACTGGGCGGAGTTTTTGGTGCGCTACTCCTTCGCCTACAAGTGCATGAACTCGCGCGTGCGCGGCCGCAACGTGGTGAGCGAGGACGTGCGCGTGCGCGACATGTTCTCGCCCGAGCTCTTCAACGCCGGCCCCATCAACCCCTGGCAGCTGAGCATTGCGACGCTGAACGTGCCCCTGCCGACTCTCGTGGCGTGCTACAAGGAGTTTGAGCGTCGCAAGCTCGGCAAGCTATCCGAGGTCAAGTACCGCTACTCCGAGTTGTGCTACGAGGCGACCCAGGCTCTGTCTGCCAGGAGTTCACGGGTCCCAGAGATGATTGAGGAGGTGCACCTGCTTGACCGGCTGCGCAGGTATGCTGATCACCTCGAGAAGCTGCTCGAGGAGCAGGTGCGGAACGCTCGCGAGGGCTACCGGGTGACCCGCGAGGTGCAGGATCTTGGGGCGGGTGTGGACTCCATGGTGGACGCCGTGCTGACGAACGAGGAGATTTTGGAGAAGATTGCGATTTTGAATCGTAAACGGATGCACCTCACGAACCACGCCTAATGTGTAAAATATTTCTGACATAGAAGATGATAAAAGTGAGCCCGAAGGGATTTGAACCCCCAACCTTCCGATCTGGAGTCGGACGCGCTACCGTTGCGCCACAAGCCCCTGTCGCAAGCCTCCCATTTTTATTTCATGACACACCATTTGGATATAGGTATAGTTGTTAACGACCGCTCGCTCACTTTCAATTGGTGGACCTTCTGACATGGAGCTGAAATTAGAGCAGATTGCGCGAGGGCAGCAATCGCTCAGTCCGGCCGGCGACCGGACCATATCGCTGCGCGGTAATTCGTCTCCTGTGCTTCCGTGATTCTCATTCAGACGCGCGTGTTACGGCGATCGCGAACTTGGGAGCTACGAAGGACGGCTACGACTGCATCGACCTGAGCAACAACGAGATCCTCAAGCTTGAGAACTTCCCGCTGCTTCCGCGTCTGCGGACGCTGGTAGGTTATCGTGATGTGCGTTTCGCACGCCGCGCAAGCTGACGCTGCAGCCGGCAGTGCGCTTCTATCGTGCCTGATTGTCCGCTCACGGCGCTCATAGCGTTGCAGGTTGTAGCTGGCAATCGCATTAGTAAAATCGCAGCGGACCTGAGCGACTCGCTCCCCAACCTGAGCTCCGTGGTGCTGACGGCGAACAGTGTCACGCATCTACGCGACCTGGAGCCGCTCTTCAAGCTGCCGAAGTTGGAGCGCCTGTCGCTCCTGGACAACCCAGTGACGGCGGTTCCGAACTTCCGCCCGTACGTGATCCTCCGGCTGCCGCGCCTGCGGTACCTCAACTTCGCCAAGGTGACGCAAAAGGAGCGCGAGTCGGTGGAGGCGTTCTTCCGCACGGAAGAGGGCAGCGCACTGCTGCGGGAGCAGGGTGAGTGTACGCTGGGCACTGCACATTCAACTTGTCTTCAGGTTACGAACCAGCTGACGCAGCGACCGGCAGCAACAACGGAGAGCTGCTGGAAATGATGGAGAAGACGACGGATATGGGCTCCCTGCTCAAGATTGAGAAGAGACTTCTCGAATCAGAGTCTGCTCAACCGGCCGCAGTCTAAGGCGTGTGACAGAATCCGCTGCCTAATTTTGCTCTCATAGACAGAATCATCTTACACACCCCGTGAGTGCTTGCACATATTAACTGTGTGACCGTTCATATGTTGCTCGCCGTCGTGCCGGTAGTGTCTAGGATGTGGTGCCTCATGAGCTATTGCCGGGGGTTACGGCGCTGCAGCACTCCAGCGTCGTTCGCGCTATATTGCTTCACGCACCGCGCGGCGTTTGCGGCCCGCCGCAGGTGGCATGGGCGCGTATGATGTTTCTGCTGGTCTACCTCTGGGCCGTGCTTGATGTGATCGTCAGCGCCTTCGAATTGCGCCGCGGCGCGCCATCGCAACGCGGGGCAGCCCTGACAGGGGCTGCAGGACTGCGGCGCAATGCCTTCCACGTCTGTTCCTCGCCCTTCGACGAGGCAGAACTGGATGCCATGAACCCGCCGGCGCCGCCACCACCGCCGCGCGAACCGGCGCAGTACGTCCGTGACGACGCCCTGTCGAAGTACCGCTTCGCAAATTTCGATGCGACGGACCAAGGCGTGCGACACATCGCCGCGCTGCCGTACGCCGAAGTGCGCCACCAAGACAAGGGAGCGCTGATCCCCTACAGAAGCGTCGAGGAGGTGGTGGCGTGCTACAGCAACAAGCTGACGACGCTGCTGAGCAACTTCCGAGAATGGACAGCCGCCTTCAACCCCCGACGAGATGATCTGGTGGACCTGTCCCTGTACAACCCGCTGAGCAGCGGAAGCTACTACGCCGTTGTGTTCTACTGCGCATGGCAGAGCGAGTCCCAGGCGCTCAAGCGGGCCGTCCACCAGCTGGCGGGCCGCTACTCCTTCGAGCGCGACCCGCCGGTGGTCCACGGGCCGAAGCCGCGTGAGCGCCTCGAGGACCTCCTCGCCAAGCTTGACGAGGTCAAGCGGCGGCACGAGGAACTGGTCGCGGAAGCGCGCGCCAAGGGGCTCCCAGACCCGCCGAGGCCACCTCTGGAGGAGCGGGAGAAAGTCACCATGACGATGCGTTCCGTCAACGCCGCGGAGACTTGCAGCATTCTGGAGAGGATGCACGGGCGGTACAACTACCGCTGGTGGATGCCGCACGTGGGGACGCTGAAGTTCAACAAGGTGTTCTGCAGGGCGTACAACGAGCTGTACAACACGAGTTACAAAATGGTGCGGTCGGATCGCTCGCGCCTCAAGTACAAGCTGAGCGACACCGGAAGACGGCCGGTGGAGTCGGCGGCACCACACGAGGGGGCAGCTCACAGTCGACAGCATGGTCCACTGACCAGGATTAACTTCATCTTGGTGCGCCTCGCTAACTCCGTGATGCTCTCCAACTCCCGGCGCGGCCTGCAGCGCATGCGCAGCGCCGCCCACGGCCACGAAAAGGAGATGCACTTCAACGAGATCGTCATGCGACTCCTCATCGACAGCGGCATACTCTATAAGGACATGCCCGCTATACGGCTGTTCAAGTGCGTCAACCCGGTCGAGAGTGTGCCCCCCGTCTTCGCGCGGAAGAGCGTCAAGGCGCTGCCGTTCGCGCCTTCCACGCCATTTTACCGCCCCGACCCCTTTGACATTGCGGCCCGCACGCTGTACGGGCTGCCGCCGCTGCGCAAGTGCAGCCACCTATCGGTTGCGTCCGACTTCGCGTACGTGGGCGGGATCGCCGGCCTGGCCGACTTGCCCGACCCGCCTGCGCTGGAGCGGCTGGTGGAGGGCGGGGAGGACGCGCAGCCGGGTGACTTCCGGCGGCTGTTGGTTTTTAACGCCGCGGGTGACACCGCCGAATCGGCCGGCGTTTCCCCCGCCGACGTGGATCGCCTGGAGCCGTTTCTTGCCACGCTCGAGCTCATGTACAAGCTGAACCTCCGGCAGATCATCGACGCGCGGCCCGTGCCGGTGGTGTACGGTTATCTGAACCCCTGAATCAAAGCGCAAAGGCGCACTGGTAATACATTAGTCATGTTGCGTCGGGCTCAGGGCTGGGCCGGCGAGAGCTGCGCGAGCCTGGCCAGGTCGAGCACGGCGAGGACGCGCCCGTCGTAGCCGCGCTGCAGCGCCGCGGCGCGGAGCGACGCCACGATGGGCAGCTCGCGCACGTAAGTCAGCAGCAGGTGCTTGAACATGCCGAGGACGATGAGCTCGTGCTCGCCCCCGAGCGCCTGCGCCAGGCGGTTGTGCGTGAGCTCGGCGACGGCCAGCAGCAGGTCGCGCATGGGGTGCTGGCACTCGAGGAGCGCGCCGGGGGCCGCCTCGGGCGGGTCGCCGACGCGCAGGGCGCGGTCGTGCGCGCGGTCGAGCTCCTCCCGCACCAGGTCGAAGGCGTAGCCGAGAATGCACACCGTGTAGTTGGAGAAGAACTCGGGGCTCGGGTAGAGGCGGTAGACGAACCGGCAGGCGTCGGCGGGCGGGAGGATGTGCTGGCGGAGCAGCGCCTCGACGACGAGCTCGAACTTCTTGGTGTCGCTCTTGAGCGTGTCGCGCGTCAGCGCGAGCACCTTGCAGGCCAGCGCGTCCTCGAAGGAGCCCTGCGGCTCGCGCGGGAGGAAGCCGGTGAGAACCTCGCCGTGCAGCTCGACGAGCCGCAGGAGGTGAGAGAGGGACTTGCTGCCGAAGATGAGCAGCGACTCCCAGAAGATGAGCACGAGGTCGTCCCGGAGCCAGAGCCTGGCGTTTTGAGGGGCGCCCTCAGGATCGGCAGACTCGGGGGCCTGTGCGGCCTCAGCGGAGTCGGCGGGCTCGCCCGGATCGGCCATCTTGACGTCAGGGAGCTTCTGCTCGGCGAAGAGGTTGGAGGGCACCGCCTTGAGCGGCGCCTTGCCGACGAGGTTGTTGATGAACCCGATGATGCGCTGGTTCCGCAGCTGGTGCTCCTCAGCGGAGAGCTTGCTGAAGTGCAGCAGGTTCAAGAAGAGCTTGTTCTCCTCAGGCTTGCCGCGCAGCGCGTGCTGGAGGTTCGGCGCGGCGGGGAGCACGGCGGCCCTGATGCTGTCCTTGAGCGCCTCCGGGGAGAAGACGAGCAGCCGGTCCATGTAGACGAGCCGCGATATCTTGTCGAGGAGACGCTGGTTGAAGTTGATGGGAGACGCGTTGCCCGGTTTGAACATGACGCTGAAGAGCAGCTCGTTCTTCTGACGAATCTTCTCCTTTACAACGTCCTCACTTTCTGGGACCTCCGGCTCCTCGACCTCCATGCCGAGCTCCTCGGATTGGAGGCCGCCGCCGCGCGGCTTCGCTGCCGAGGACGCCTTGCGCACCTTGCAAAACTCGACGCTGAACCAGTAGGCGCCGGCAGCGAGCAAGTCGGCGACCACGGCCGGCTCCAGGCGCCCGACGTCCTCCGTGAGCTGCGAGTAGAAACTCAGGAAGATCGTCTCGACGCGCGGCTGCACGCTGCACATGTGCTGCATCACCAGCACGGCGAACATGGCGAAGCGCCTGCGGTGGATGGGGGAGAGCATGAGGTTGAAGAGCACCTCCACGATGGCGTGCTCGGCGTACTCGTGGTTGAAGGGGATCAGGAGGAGCTGGTTGGCGCAGAGGCTGGTGTCCTCCTCGAAGGCCTGGACGGTGTGGAGCACGTGCTCCTCGAGGAGCCACCGGTCGTGGACGGCGATCTGGTCGACCCCCGGGCAGTCCGTGGCGAAGGCGAAGGGCAGGAAGGGCACTGGCTGGAAGGCCGCGAGCTTGTCCGCTTTGGTGTTCAAGAGGCCCTGGAGGATCTCCTGGGTGACGGTGGACACCTCCTCGGAGACGAAAGGCTCCTCGGCGACCTCGAAGATGTGCTCCGCCACACCCTTGCTCTGGTAGAAGCGGTAGGTGGTGGTGTTGGCCCACTCGTGCTGCAAGAGCGACTCGAGACAGCCGACGCCGCTCTCGAGCCTGTCGGTGTAGTGGAACTCGCCCGCGTACGGCTGGAACGCCGCAGTATACGCGTAGGCGTTCCGTACCGGGTCCAGCAGCTCGGGGTCGCTGGCGTCATAGGTCACCGACTGCAAAGTGGCGGTGACCTCCGATATCTTGGCTCTGCGTCTCTCAGTGTAG